GGGTGGAGAGAATCTTATTTTGGTCTGGTAACTTGAATTTGGGGGAAATTACTTTCATTAAAACGTGTGCTGGAGGTAATGCCTGTAGTGTAGCTTGTACGGTACTGCTACAGTACACAACAGCATGGACAGTGACGTCATTCAAAATGGCAGCCAGCCTACTTCAACCGGCAGCAACGTGGTAGATCTACACTCTGCAAATTCTACGGAGCAAACCTTTTTCCAGACCACCAATGAAAGGAAGAAAAGAGGGAGGCCAAAAAAGAAGGATAAACAAGGAGAAAAAATTGCACCTCAGCAAGAATTGGCTACAGGTGATAGAGGCACTGGGCCTGGGGTGACTGGCAGTTCACTGGAAATTGAGGTATGGCGTTGCAAAGTTTGTAACTTAGATTTTTGCAGTGATGACGACAAGCTTATGAAGTGTGAAAGATGTGATGGTCCCACATGCATTAAATGTTTAGATATGGATACTGAAATGTACGAGGTACTTACAAGTAGAGTAGATGTCCATTGGTATTGTACAGCATGTGACAGACAAGCCATGTCTGCTATCAAAACAGATTGGGAGATAGAGGAGAAATGTGCAGCATATCTGGCTACGTTTAACAAAAAGTTTGATGACATGCAGAGCAATTTAGACCAGAAAGCAGACAAAACATCAATGGAAAAATTATCTGCTGATGTGATGGCTACACAGAAGGTAGTTGAAGGTGTAAATGCAGACATAGTCAAACTATCTGATAGGATCGAGTTGATGCATAAAGAACCTGAAGAGATTGAAAAAAGAAAGAAAAATATCCTAATCAAGGGATTACCTGAATGCAGGAAATCTATCGCAGACGATGCACGGCACCAAGATAAGGATATAGAGCTAGATGATACAGTGGACATGTCAAATGAAGAAATTTGTGACCAGCTCTTCAACAGTATGGATATCAATGTAACTCCAAAGTCTGTTCATAGATTAGGTAAAAAGAAGCTAGATGGAAAGCCACGCCCAATTAAGGTTGTACTTGAGAATGAAGAGGATAAGAAGCTTCTGTTGAGAGGTGGTCCTAAAGTAAGAAGAGTTAATCCTGAAGGGTTAGCTTTAACCCTTCCAAGGTCTTCATAAGTCCAGATATGACTATTCTACAGCGAGAAGAGGACTTCAAGTTGCGTGAGGAGCTACGTAGGAAAAGGATAAGTGACCCAAACTGGATAATAAGGGGGAAAAAGCTCTTCTTAAAGACTCAGGTACCACCTCGAGATCTTCCACCAGACAGAGTAGGAAGTTCAGGGGAAAGGAGTTAGTTAGTAAGAAGAAGGAATCTGCACCGCACCCAAGCACCGACAACACTTTTATTTTCGAAGGAGAACATGGAAGTACATGTACTACTCCCCAGGATGGATCGAACCGCATTTACTGCACAAGCACAAGCACATCTCAAATTCGAAAAGGAAAAGAATTCAATCCACTCAAGGTTGTACACATGAATGCTTTTAGCATCAAGAACAAATATGTTGAACTTCAAGATTTCTTATATGAAAATGACATTGACATCTGCGCCATAACAGAAACATGGTTAGATAATTCAGTGAGCAGTAATGAATTCACACCTGAGGACTATGTATGTTTTCGCCAAGACCGCAGCCTTGATTTTTACAATGAAGGTACCTACACAGAGGTTGGAAGAGGAGGGGCACTACTTCTTGTGAGAAGGAACTTAAATCCCACACCATATTCGAGAGGAGATACTGATGCGGAAGTGGTTTGGTGCACAGCGCATCCAAACCCAAAGACAGAATTATTGATTGGAGTAGTTTACAGGCCTGAGCGTGGTGGTGAACCGTACTTGGAGAAAGTCTGTAATTCAATTTCAAGAATCGACACAGACAATGTGATATTACTCGGAGACTTTAACTTTAGAGACATCGATTGGGATAAAGGAGAAGCGCATACTGCCCTTTCTCGGAAATTCCTTTCATGTATTGAGGAGAACATGCTGTTCCAGTTAGTGAAGGATCCAACTAGAGGTCAAAATATCCTCGACCTAGCTTTTACCGGAAACCTAGATATCGTTCACTCTGTAACTGTTGGAGACAAATTGGGATCTAGTGATCACAATAGTGTGCTATTGGAACTAAGGATACCTGTACCTCGTATTGCATTGACAGAACGCAAGATTTATTTGTACTCCAAGGGAGACTACTCGGCATTATCCAACGAAGTTAAATCTGTTGACTGGGTGAAGGAATTTGCATCTAGGAGTATGAACGAAAGATGGGAGTTACTCAAATCCAAGTATAGTGAATGGATTGACAAATACATTCCGATTAAAACTGTGAAGTCGGGTCAACGCCACAAACCTCCATGGATTAACTTCAGATCAGTCAGAAGAGCAAAGAAATCCAGGAGGGGAGCAGCTGTTCAAGCAAGGAAGACTGGACTTAACGCCCATAAGGAACAGTATCTTCAAAAGAAACTTCATACTGAGGAAGTAATACGCCAAGCCAAAGTAGACTATGAATCGTCTCTTATCAACCAGATTAAAACTGAACCAAAGAAGTTTTATAACTATGCGAGGCACTTCTCTAGATCTTCTGCTACAATTGAGGTTCTTGAACACGATGGAGTAAAGATAACAGATAACCAGAACAAAGCAGAGATTCTGAACGAGTTTTTTGCAAGTGTACTGAAACCTGAACCACTTGAACTTAATCTCAATCTACCTCTTCCCGAGATATCACATGACAACATTGTATATGACATTGAGATTTCCCCTTCCAGAGTTAGAGAAAAGCTTTCCAAGCTTCACATCAACAAGGCCTGTGGTCCTGATGGGATACATGTAAACGTGCTAAGGAATGTTCCTGATTTGGATGTACCTCTTGGTATTTTATTTGATCAATCTATCCAAACCGGACAGATACCCCAAGAATGGAAGGACGCAAATATCACTCCACTCTTCAAGAAGGGATCCAGGTTGTCTCCAAACAACTATAGACCAGTCTCCCTTACCAGTCAAGTGGTAAAGCTTCTTGAGAGAATTATCTACGACAAACTGATGGAACATGCAGTAGACAATGATATGATTTCATGTCACCAGCACGGCTTCCAGAAGAAGTGTTCATGTGTGACACAACTCTTAGAGTGTCTTTATGACTGGACGAAAGCATACGATGAAGCGAAAGGAATGGATGTCATATACCTTGATTTTCGAAAGGCATTCGATACCGTCCCCCATCGTCGACTGTTATACAAGCTTAAGCACAATGGTATCCGTGGACATATTCTCAATTGGATTGAGGGGTTCCTAACTGGACGCAGACAAAGAGTAGTGCTAAGGAACGGCACCTCAAGATGGAGGTCGGTGACAAGCGGCGTGCCGCAAGGGTCTATTCTCGGGCCGCTCCTCTTTCTAATCTTCGTAAATGACATTCCCGATATGGTTCTCACTACTGCTAAGATGTTTGCTGATGATACCAAGATTTACCGCCAAATAACATCGAAAGATGATTGTGACATACTACAGAGAGACTTAAATGCACTCGCTGCATGGTCTAAACTATGGCTACTTGAATTCAATGCTGAAAAATGTGTTGTCCTGCGCATCCGAGCAGCTATTAACTACAATTATTCTATCAATGGTGTTCATCTGCAGGAAGTGACAAACCAAAAGGACTTGGGAGTTATAATTAGCAATACCCTCACCCCTAACGAACATGTTGATGAACTAGTTAAAAAGGCTCGCTGTAAGATTGCAATGTTCCGACGCTGTTTCACTGCACTGGATGAAAGGAAAATCACCATTTTGTACCAATCCATAATTCGTCCAGCGCTGGAATATGCATCATCTGCTTGGAGCCCACTTACAAAGAAGAATATTGAGAAGTTAGAGAAGGTGCAGACCAAATGCCTACGTCTTGGTAACAAGGAAATTCCTATTGAGACATTGAAGGAGAGAAGAGCAAGAACAGACCTTATCAATTTGTACAAATACCTTAATGGCTATTACACAACTCCAGCACAAAGATTCTTCTCCCACCCAAATAAGGAATTAAGAGGGCATTCTAGAAAAGTGTTCCAAAGACGTTCCAGAACTCAACTGACTGGCCACTTTTATACTAACAGAGTGGTCCAACCTTGGAACAACCTACCAGAAAAAGTAGTGTCTGCACCTACAGTGGCGACTTTTAAAAGTCAACTGAGAGCCCTTCCCTTAGGAAAAGAGGGCTAATCTACCAAGTATACCAAGTATACCAAGTAGCTTAATTAATATCTTGGCCTTGAGAGGGAGCTATACAACATAAAGAGTTTATTATTTAAAATTGCATAACTTAAGACTCGATTTCAACCGCGACAACGATCACTGAATAATATGTTCATTTGAACCAAATTCATGACCTCGTACCGAAACTTTATAATAGCCTACCTTTAAGGCCACTCCTGCTGATTGACAACATCAGGGGGATGTTTCACAAAACATGTCATCAGTGACAAATGACAGTTTTTGTTATAAGCTACCAAAATCCTTGCTTCTGATTGGTTATCAGCAGATTTTTCACTGATTTTTATTGAAAAAAGGCTTTGTGAAATGGGTCCCTGCTATCTGGATGGTTTCATTCCCCATGAGAATCCATGTTTATGTGTCTTTAAATCATTTCTCTTCCAATATGTCCAGCGCTAGTAACATATGGTTTCGATGAGAAGGAGTTCCTCACTGTTCCGTTAGGTGACTTCTACAAGTGTGACTCCCTCAACGCTACCTTTGACTCGTTCGCAGTGAACCTGACCACGCCTACTTTCCAGCCGTTTGTCCAGCAAACCAAGGGAAAGGACAACTTGGGCAAAGGTAAGGAAAAAGTTCATTGTTCTTTGAGAAGGTTTCTGCCTCACTGAGTGTCTCTAGAAAATGTTAGAATTCGTAGTATGAACGATAATGAAAAGAAGAAGGAGGAGGAGAAGGATGATGATAAGAAGAAGAAGAAGTCCTTATAATAATGATAACAAAATAATAAGTGTTTCATATTTATACAACTGACCATAGCGCTTACAGTATTATTATTACCCCGGTTGCTGGATTCAAGTACTATTCCGCACATTAAAGTGCACATTCTCCACTCGGTGGGGAGCAATCTAGCTAGTCACCTTTTTGCGGGCACGCACATGCTAATCCAATCATATTTAACTTTGCATCCAATCAAGGGCCCTATTAGCACCTGGATGGAGAGGGGCAATAGGCCTGTCCTCACCAGACCAAAGTTGCAAAATAACCCACTATTTTCAGTCTCTGGATATATTCCTGAAGCTCGAAATTGTGTCTTCACCAGACCGATACGCTCATCACAAACTAGCTCGTACGGACGCAAATTGGCCCACTATTTGGGAAATAGCCGGTTTAAAAAAAAATTCTCTCCCAAATAGCCCGCTAATAGGTCAATTTTAGGTCAATAACTTTGTCAGCGACAAAGTTCCTTTAGGGCACTGTTCGGGGGTATACACCAACATCTTAAAGGTATTCACGTAAGCGGGTTATTTTGCAACTCTGGTCTGATGATGACAGGCCTATTTTGCAACTCTGGTCTGATGAGGACAGGCCTATTGTAGATAAAATGCCTTGCTCAAAGACATAAGTGCTGTAGCGGTATCAAACCCATGAACTTTGCATTACTAGTGATTAAACCACTGGACCATGACACATAGAAACTCTTCATACAGAGCTGTACCAGGGGCGTTCTGGTTAAACAGAGCTGTACTAGGGGCGGTATGGTTAAACAGAGCTGTATTAGGGGCGGTCTGGTTAAACAAAGCTGTAAGGGGGGCGGTCTGGTTAAACAGAGCTGTACTAGGGGCTGCCTGTTTAACAATTTTGCTTTTTGTCTTTTGTTCTGATACTTCACCAGAATGCCAATGTACGAACGGATCTTCAGTAAACCATACCAATATCATCATTGGAATCGTCATCGCGATCATCGTGCTTGCCGCCGCCGTCGGAGTGACGTACTACGTGGTGAAACGACGCGGAACGCCCTCCGACCCTCCTTATGCTAGGGTTAATTGAGAGACCAGAGGAGTCGCTCAAACTACTGGATGTTTTTTTAATATTATCCCCAAGCTTTGTACGATACAGTCAATCTGCTTTAAAGATAAAAGTGAGGTGTGGTTATCCGATTCTCCCCATCGCATGCGGCTTTCTCAATTCTAACACTTGCGCACTCTATTTTGTGACATACAAATCGGCCAATTTTCTGGGAAGGGTACTTTGGGGTTAATTGCCCCTGAACACCTTTGTTGACAATATTTTGATAGAAACGAAACGCAGCATTGACATTCTTTGAAACTAGTAATGAGGATGAAATCTTGTTTAAACTCTGTTGAAAAAATACCAATAATAAACACGTGCTATGGTAAACAACCTTAGAAATTCAAAAGAAAAAAACGCAAATCCCTTCAGTTGATATGAAAATCATTTTCAGAGTATATTGTTTACACCAACAAAATAGTACCACTAGTAAAACTGAAATGAAATAAAGAAGAGAGATATATTAGAGAATAGATATATTAGAGAATATGTTAAAAAGTCATTTCCTGAACTTTCATGTTACACCTTTTTTTCATTACATGTTGCTACTGCTATTGTAATTTTAATATTTTCATATCTGCTATATCTTTTTACAATGTATCCATTATATCTAGTATGATTTTAAAGGTATTTGCAATTCAGCAATTCAACAGTGATGTGTTTTTTTAATAAACCTTTTTGAATAAAATTATTAAAAACCATTAGAATGCTTGCTTATGCACATATTTGAAGTTTATGTTTCATGCATTGTTTACTCGGATTTTTGACATGGATTGTTATAAAGAAAACAGGTTTGTTATTGTTTTGTTTTTAATTGAAAAGTTTGATTGATAGTGCTTTATGAGACATTTACATTAAAAGAGAAATAATATTTTAACTTGCTTTTGTAGTTTCTTAATACTCTTTGCATGTGATTTGTCTGTATTTGTAAATATGTATGTTTGAAATCAATTTATCGTGACGTGAGAATAATTAAACTCAGTCTTTCTCATCTATTTTTCATAAATGTGAATATGAATTTCTGTCTTTTCTGAGTGGTACAATACCTGCTTGATGCCTCAACTATTTCTGAAGGTCTTTCATCTGAATACATTTCATTGCCTTGAAAGAAATCGTCTTGTATATAAGAATTTAGTGATTTTTGATAGGCCATTTCTATTCAACACTGGAAACGATAGAATTGGGATGACATTCTATTCAGAATTTCATAAATGCAAAGAATGCATAGCTACAGTGGGTATTGTCATCAAGAGTTTGGCCGACTTGGTTTCAGTTCCTCACAACATGTCATTAATGTAGTATTTTGTACTTTGCTTGCCTAACTAATCAGGATTCGCCACATTTTGCCCAGTTCGAATCAGGTTGGTAAATGATAGAATTAGGATGATATTCTATTCAGAATTTCATAAATGCAAAGAATGCATAGCTACAGTGGGTATTGTCATCAAGAGTTTGGCCGACTTGGTTTCAGTTCCTCACAACATGTCATTAATGTAGTATTTTGTATTTTGCTTGCCCAACTAATCAGGATTCGCCACATTGTGCCCAGTTCGAATCAGGTTGGTAAACCCTACTAATGAATTGCTCTGTTGCAGGCTTGCAGCCATTTATTCATCAAACATAGAATAATAACTTGATGGTGCAATGGATGAGAGAGCTTTCAAATATCCATATATAAATTGAAAAGGAATTGTGTTTATTTGGTGCTTTGAACATTATCATTTTAATTTCTCGTTTTTATATATATACAAAATTAAAAAGAATAAAAAAACATCAAAATTTTGATCTTCTCAAAGGTGAAGTTAAGAGGCATTTTGATCAAGAGAGGTTCATCTTTATAAAAAAAAAAACAACATAAGTGTGATAAATTTGACAAGAAATGGGGATTGTATTTGGATTATTTTATGCAATAAGCTTCACCTGTGCTTCTTCATATGTTGTATAACTTGAATATCTTTTCTGTGTAAAACCGTTGTATCAACATTGCAAATTGATATGAAACTAATAAAAGTTGTTTTGTTTTTCTCAGGACAAAAAAATATAGAAGAATAACAATTTTCCTGATATTTTGTTGCATGCCAAATGAAAAACGAGTTAGTGCAGTTATTTCCAATATACAGTACCCACCCCGTAGTAATAGTTCAGTACTAGTCCATACTCTTTATTTTAATTGTAGATTTTATTGTAGTTTTATGTTGTTGTTTGTTTGTTTCTTTTAAATTTCATTGATGGATTCTATGAACCTTGTGGAGTCATATGTGAGATGGGAAGCAATCAGACGAACACTTAAGATCATTCAATGAAAGAAAGAAATAACCTTTAGGTGTCAAAAATACCAATCTGGCATACAAATCTAAAAATGAAAAATTAAACTTTGTACGAATAAAAACCAGGAAAAATCTCTCGGTTAGTGGATTCCAATGAAGCTTGTCCTTAGCCGTGCATTCTTTTCTCCATTTAGTCAATAATGCGTTGTAAATAAGCTTCCTATTAGATCTAATTCTGATATATCTTTTTTTTTTCTTTTTAAAATATTTCCCCCCTCTTTTTAAATAATGTATGTTAGCAATAAAAAAAAAATAGAATCATGTAAACTGGTATGTGACTTTTTTCACAATTCCATTTATATCATTTAAGGAACTACAGCATAATCAGACGTATATGTTTGTGACACTTTTAATGAGGAAAGTTGAAGTAGATCAAATTTTGTTTGATATTTCCTTTTAACAGGTATGAAGTTAAAATATAACTTGTGTAATCGTTATTTCATGATATTGTATATGGACTGATCTGAATAAAGTTTAGGAAAGTTTTCAAAACTTGATCAATATATTATTCTTTGACTTCATTTTGTACTTACCTTTCGTCTTTGATTTTGCCTCTATTTTTTAACCTTTGTAACAAGTTATAGAACTGACAATGAAATCGACTAAACAAAGGACCAATTAATTCATGAATAACATTTCAAAATATACGCATAAAAATTATTTAATTACAAATTTGAAGTAATTCCCGACAGGTTTGATAACTTCATATACATTACCAATCTATAAATTAATTTAGATTCGTCTTATAATAATACATGTAGTTCTTAGAACATTTTGTTCTGATTCTCTCTCACTCTCTCTCTCTCTCTCTCTCCCCCCCACCCCCTCTCTCTCTCTCTTTCTCTCTCTCTCTCGGTCTCTCTCCCTCTCTCCCTCTCTCTCTTTACCCTTTCTCTCTCTCTCTCTCTCTCTCTCTCGCTCTCTCTCTCTCTCTCTTGTCCCCTAATCCCTCCATCTCCATTTGTTTTCGTCAGAAGACCAATCACATTATTACCCCTAGAATTCAGCCTAATAAATATATCAAAATATGCTCCGATGACCGTTGTCCAAACTCATTTCGACCTCTCCGGTCTGTAATCTCCTGTACTGTACACTATTTCTTCTTGATTTATGCTTTCTTTGTATATTTAGAAGGCAAAGGAAAGCTAGAAAGATAAAGAGAACGGTCGAAATGATGACGTAGGCTAAAAAGGTCGGCGTTTTGGCGGTCTGTATCTCGTTGACGAGTTTGCATTCGGGCACTGTGACGTCACTCCCCGATAAGTGTTCAGCTTGATCTAAGAGAGGGAGAAAGCAAGAGAGAGAGAGAGAGAGAGAGAGAGAGAGGGGGGGGTAGAGAGAGGGGGGGGGTAGAAAGAGGTAAGAGACAAAGAGAGAAAATAATATTTAAGGAAGAAAGATGTGGTTATTTACGCAAGAAGCCAACAATGTATTTTGAATTAACGAATTGACGTATTTTCATGAGTGATTCAATTGGTCGTAATTCTTTATATATTTATCGCGACAAGAAAATTTGAGGCGGGGGGGGGGGGGGTAAGAGGACACTTTTTTCTTTTTTCTTGGTCTCGAAATTTGAAAATTTGACATTTTGTTCCGTTGGGGGGGGGGGTAAGGTCACCTTTTTTAGGTCACCCATTGGCAAAAAAAAAAAAACTCAAAAGGGGGGGGGGGGGTTCACAAAAAACATACACAAAACATACACATAAAAAAAACTCAAGGGGGGAGTTTAACCCCAACCCCCTGCGTACGCGCCTGATTGGGTTGATCATATACGTATAGGCACATTTTTTCCGGGGTGGGTGGGCTAACGCCTCCTGCCACATTATCAATCTTCCACTTTCAAATTGGTGAGCGAGCAAAAGAGCTAGTACTTCGTAATGGTAGGAATACTGGCATTTCATCATAAAACATAAGCTAGATAGATTTAAATCTATTACACTATTTGGGCACCTCGCTGCCAGGATATGATTATTCTGGTACTTCCGTATCCTGAATTGTAGTTGTCAGGAAAACCCATTGTCCGCAGAAGTTAATTATCGGTTGCCGCGAAACCAACCAGGATGAGATTGTAAAAGATTTGTTTTTCTCTCTTTTCCTCTTCAGAGGGACTTATTATTCCATTTCAAAATACATATAGACTATTTACAAAACAGGAAAAACAAATTATGAATTAAATACAAGATCAACATAATTTCCTCACAGGATCATTATAACATTTCTATTAGTATTAATTTTTTAACTTCTTCATTATCTTTGTATTTTACAAGTTGTGCATAATTCATCAAGAAATTAAGTAAAGTAAATTTTCTGTTATTTATTTCATATCCAATCAATAACATTTTCATATCAATGTCAATTTTAAAGATGAATGAGATTGTAAAAGATGTTGGGATGCAGGACCTCTCTTCCTGATCCGATGGCCTATGAGATTGACTGAATAATAATGTTTGATGCTCACCTCTTACACATACAGGCATGGTGTTGGGTGGAGGAGGCAAGTCTCCATCATCGCCCACATGAAACACAACCGCCATCCCTAGCTGCACAAAATCAAAAATCAAACAAAAATAAAGACATTTACCCGAAACTGTTCATGATCACACTTTTAGAAATCTTCCAATGCGCTAAACGCGTTTTTGCTTCTTGTTTGTTAGTATTTTAAATTCAGATTCTTTTTTTCAATTTCAGATATTATAATGAATCACAGATTATATAGGTTTAGAAAACGCACTTTTTTGTTTCGATGAACTAAAATAACGTCAATAATCTAAGTTAATAAGTATAGTAAATTGACAAGTGTGAAGCAATAACATCGCCCACCATTTAGAAGAAACGCTAAAATACATTTAAACACCCCCCCCCCCGCCCCCCCCCCCACCCACCACCCACCACCCCCACCACACGTTTATCAATTTTCTTGATACGCCATAACAAATTACTGACAATAGAATTAATTACCTCCAGATGTACATCCATATGACAATGGAACAACCACCAGCCCGGGTTATCAGCTTTGAAACGTAGTATGGCAAAGCGCTGAGCCATCATTAATGTGTCTTTTCGTGGTGGGTGATCGAGGTTGCGTTTTATTTCACCTATGTATATTCGAAAAGGATGAGCACCAGTTATTAGAGACTGTGTCTTTAACTAATAGAAATTAGTCATATGCGACTGTATTTCAGATTCAAACAGAATAATGACGTATATCGTCGTTCTATACCTATCACGTTCGTTCTCCGAAATTTAGATTTCCTTTTGGATTATAGACATGGATAAACAATACTGAATTCTAAAAAAAATATTTAAATTCTATGTTTTCAGTGCAAATGCATTTTGAAAAGCGAGCACAAAGTCATGGAGTCTACCAAACGGAACCGAAGTCCGACTGGGGTTCCCCCCCCCCCCCCCACTCAGTGTTATTTAGGGTACGCATATGCATGTTCCCTCCTTTTGAAAACACCCCCTAAGTCCGATGTGTAAAACGGGCTTTTATGTATACGAGCCGGACTTTGGTGCGTGAAAAGTACCCCTTTACCTGACATTTTGGTAACACGCATGGTATCCCTCCGATCACGGAGTGTGGGGGGGGGGTGTGGCGGGCTGGGGTTTCATGGGCGCCCTTTGTTATTATGTTATCCATTATTTTCATCACACTCCTTCAGGGCTCCTTAACTGCGTACCCATATAGATATCACGGTCAAAAGTATGGGTATAGGGAATTGCTTTTCGTTTTTTGCGAATAATTGCCCCCTTTAAGTGGAGTAAATAATCTATGAGGAAATACCTCTCTCATCCATATCTTGTATCGTCTGTTGCGGGAGTTGCTCGCCGTTGTCGTAACTGATGACGTAGAAATGGTTACCATGGAGATGAAGTGGGTGTGGCTCAAATTCCTTCAAAGACTTTGTCACCAATATGAGCTCCACAACCTATAGGATTTATAGCAATAAAGTGTACAGTTGAAAACCATCAATACTGAGCCGTCTACTTTGTAGGCACAAACCGTTTCAGTTGTTGTGCGTAACATTGTGTCTGAACTAAGAGACTATGCTGAGTGTACACACTAGTACAGTGCACCCTCTATGCTCTGTACTTAAACCCCCTCTAAAGTGTTTGGAACCCCAAATTCGCCAACAATTTGATGGCAAAATTACATTTAAATTGTATCATAATGTGAAAGAAAATGTCATTTAAGACATCTTCTGCAACTATACCTCCCCCCCCCCCCCCCAAAAAAAAAAAAAAATTATAGACAAATATTGATTAAAAATATACAATTTGGGTTTTCCCTAGTACGCAGAAAACAGAAATTTTGTATTCTTTCATCAATGTTCGACTTCAAACACATTTGTTTTGAAAATCCTTGCAGAAGTATGTCTTAATTGACATCCTCTAACACATTATGATACAATGTAAGTGAAATTTTGCCATTTAATTTATTGTTGGGGCTCCCAACGATTTAGATGGGCTTTAAGCAACTTCTGGTCAGCCAGAGACCGATAGAGCTAGGCTCTACTCAAGACTTCATGGAATTGTTTTAAAGTGTCAAATTAGAGTCTGTGCCTGCAGACTAGCAGCCAGCATTGATTCGGTACTTTACAATCTACTCAAGATCGTAGTGGCGGCCATTAGACCGTGTGTCCACTATACGCAATATACAAGGATGTTAAAAACAAACAAAAAAACGAATTTAAACTATCCAATGATGTTCCTCATTTTTACTTGACGGGTACTGGCCTTGATGGACTTTAAACCCATTGCGCATGATGCGCCATTTACAGACGTAGGATTGCGTCAATGTTTGGTGCGGCCTTTGACGCGCCATATATTTTTATGTGAGGATGACGTACAGAACTCAATGCAAAATAAACGGTTCAGATATTACGTTGAGTTATTGTCGCATTAGCTAATTGCCTTCAAAGTTTATATTAGCGCATGTAATAGCGCAATCGAAATGATGCCTCGGTTACAACGGGCAAAAAGAAAACTGTAATGGATTGTGTCTGATATTGGTTATATAAATCCTGCATAATTATCATTAGGAGTTAGATTAGACTTATCGAAACAAACCTGTCATAGCAAGCTAATTAATAAGAATGAGATATGAAACACACAGGGGAAATAATTATAATCAAGAAACTGTGATTCGAACAATAAGGAAATTATAGTGAACAAATTGAGAGAGATTGAAAAATGGAGATAGGGATAAAAATTACTTACGGCTAGAACAACAGAGGGAGGGGATGGAGCTGTATAAGAACGGACGACGAGACAGAGACAGAGTGGATAACAAACAGAAAAGGAGACGGAATGTATGAAAATTATAGATTATAGCTGTCTTCGACTTGCCCGACCTGATTCAGTTTGACCGGGATCGTATGCGTACACTCGCAGTACTCCTCTTCACAGTCCCGCCCGTATTCCGTCATCATCGTCGACTTCGTGCACAGACTCCCGGCCTGGAGGTGACGATGATGAGTGAGCAACGGGACCGTCGGGAGGGCGAAACTGATGTTGTTCATCATGTGAGTCCTCTTTGCGGTGTACATGTGGCCGCCTTGCTCTACGGGGTAGTATGTACGGTGATGAAGATGGGGGGAGTTGCGATACACGCTGTCGACTTCGATGTAGTGGGTGACGTCGGGCTTAGGACGCACTATGTCGGGGTCGATGGGGCCTAGTAATGAAAGTGGTACACACTCTTAACGAAGTAGGCCTCTTATTGTGTAGGGTTATGTTTTATTTCCTTAAAGTCACGACAAGCTTGCGTCCAATAATCTAAGACTTTTCGAATGTTTGAAAATTATCAGGGCATATAGCCCCTCTCCCTCCCCCCCCCCCCCCCCCCCCCCCCCCCCCTCCTCCTCCTCTCCCCGTCTCGTATGCCGCTTTTGACCTTGTTTTGAAATAAAATAGTCGACAACATTTAAAAACACTTTTTACAGATGCCTGTTTTTTTAAATCTCAAAAAACAATTAATGAGGCACATTATTTTATTCTTAACTTAGGCCTATGGCAGACCTATATGCCAGATCGTTTTTTTAAAGGGGACAGGGGCTAATAAATATTATGCCCCTCCCCCTAAATCCATCACTGATCTTACCTGCGCCTCTGAGGTCGTAAACCTCAGGCCTTCCTGGTGTACTTTCAACTATAGGTACATTAAGAATAACACCATCTCCTTCCTTGGTAGCTGATGGGTTCATGCTGATGGCTGATGGCTTCATTTCCTGCAGGGCTCCTGTGTATCTCAATATCGCAACTTCTTCGATGCCTTCACATTCAGATCCATCCACCCCGCGCACTTGTATCGCGTAATTGCCGATCGGTTTATCGGCAGAAACCACAAAATCATACCGTTCGCCACCTGATACTACGACTCCGTCTACCGTTATGGCATCGATAGGTGAACCATCGGTACTTATTGTGAGTAGCTGGTGATTGGAGATCGATATTTCCATAGGACAATTAGTGACTGCTGTGTTGATTGTTCGAAAGCGATATCGTAATCCTTGTTTGACGGTGAATATTGAATCTGGGAGTTGTGCCTCTTTGCCGTTTCTTTCGAAAACCTAACAATTAAACAAAACAAAAATAATAGTGAAGTTTGAGATATTTGACATCGTAAAAGGGGTTACACAAATCACAGGTCATAATGGTATAAATTTAGTCTTAGGTTTGGTCTTCTTGCTATAGCAGACAACATAGGTCTATATAGAGCCTTCTGACGTTATAGACGTTATAGTTATTGTCTTGCTCTTGTTTACATTAAAACACTTTCTTCAGAGGGAGGGGGGGGGGGGGTAACAAGTATTGCCTTTATTATTTTGCAGTCACCTTTCTCTTTGTGCCACGCCCATTAATAAGAATAGCATCAGGACCTCCTGGCCCGTCAGCGTGTAGATCCTTCATCATGTGCTGCATGGAGAGCGTATCAGTCCAATCCGACATCATTATCACATGCTCGTGGTCATCGATGTCGTAGAGACTCGAGTGCACTTCGTCATCCTTCCTCTGCCGTACGACCACGGGACCGAACAACCCGTCTGCCCGCTGTAGACCAGAGTGCGAGTGCCACCATTGCGTACCCGGTGTGTCGGCAAGGAAATTATAGGTGAAGGTTTGGGGTCGGGGAATGGGGCATTGCGTGATCATTGATGTTCCGTCCATGTGAGGGCTAGTACGCTGATGTTGACCATGCCAGTGAATGGTCAAACCTTCCGAGTTGTCCAGGGCGTTACGGACGGTGACCCGAACTCGATCTCCCTGACACACCTGTAAAACAACAAGAAGTGAAGACCTAGCTATGATAGTGGTGAAAGTGTGGGTCAAGCCATTGCGGAGTACTGGCATCGTCTAGAGTATTACGGTATCTCCTGGTGGATGAAATGCCTAATGAACCAAGCAAACGAGAAGGGGATAAGGTGGAGGATGGGGTTCCTATACCATCTTCTTTTCCCTTTCCCTTCCCCCTCTCTCTTCTTTTTTTTTCTCTCGCTTTGTTGTTGTTGTTTGTTTAAGTTCCTTACTCTATGTTCTTCTCTCCCCCCTCTCTCTCTCTTTATCTCTCTTTCTTATATATATCTTAAATTTTCGTCATTCAACGAAGGGGAGCGTGCCTCATATTTTTGCCACTTTTGTTACTAAGTTCCCTGAAAGTGTTGAGCCCCACCGTTGAGCCAAAGTCTTTCTACCATTTATTCCTGATCTAATTTACCACATATTTTATTTTCATATAAAAGTCTGAAAATAACATCTTGATATCTTCAAACCATACCTGAATACTGGGCCCCGGTATCTGCCGATTAATCGCCAAGACTGGTCGCTGAACCCCATTTAGAGCTATACAATGAGGTCGCAAACAGTCACTCGTATTGAAGGGACAGTCATAGCAGGCCTTAGACATGGAATAATACCACTCTGCTACGAAGTGGAAGTCACAGGTTCTCGGCTCGGGAAATCTCGTACAATCCCGTAAACATGAAGTGGAATAATTATTGTAAGCTCCGTTCGACACATTTGATGTAGTAGAAGTAGACACAACGGAAGGGTAGAAGTGGAATAAATCTGGATGGGGATTAACAAAAGAATACGGAGAAAATATTTTGGAATGAAAATAATGTCATTATCGCTTTAACTTTTCATTGCATAATGAAGAGGACTTTAACAAATAAATTGGAATACGACCATGCATTCATCGTTCGACTCCGAAGTAGGAGCGTCACCACCTCCCCCTCCTCCTCCCCCCCCCCCTCCCTCCGCAAAACCCGATATGTACCGCAGGCTGTTGCTTTAAATTTCTGAAGTATATGCCTTTGTTATAAAGGCCTCAGAAAACTTCTACTTGACTTTCAACCAATCAGAATAGAGTATTATATACTTCATGAGTCGTGTTGCATGAGAATGTTGACACAGAATAATTTTGGGACTAACCCGGCCGTTAAAGAAATTGATGTTTATTTTGCTTTTTTCCTCTGCAATTACACAATTTCTTTCAAATTTCTTTATCAAGAGTTATTTATTTGTACTGCTTAACAATAAGGGAGTTTACAGATAGCACATGGTACAAATGACCCCAAATATACGCAGATCTTTTACACATGGAGAAGTTCCACTTTGAGCTTCTTAGAATAATAACTTCCAAAGTCCTAGATGTGCTTCATGAATACCTTTTGTTTGCCCTCTTGAAAAGAATACTTCCACATGCGTATCTTAGAATGTACCGAATGTCCCTTATAAGGGAGTTTACAGATAGCACATGGTACAAATGACCCCAAATATCCACAGATCTTTTACACAATGTCATGGAGAAGTTCCACTTTGAATAATAACTTCCAAAGTCCTAGATGTGCTTCATGAATACCTTTTGTTTGCCCTCTTGAAAAGAATACTTCCACCTGCGTATCTTGGAACGTATCGTTGGTGCGTAAATGAATAATGTTACATAACTTTCATGAGCGCATATCCAGTATTCATCTCTGTGGGTTTTACCATTTTGGTACAAATGACCTTCATCTGCATGCCTATGCGCAGATTGTATCTGTAAACTGGCTTATTGGTGTGAATTTGAATAGAAACTGTTTCAATGTTTTTTCTCACCATTACCAGAATTCAACCCTATCTTTAATGTCAGTAATCTCTATTAAAACACACAGACTCATATACAATTTTACAATCCAATGAAAATAATGTACAAACGGTATTTTTCCCCCACAAATATCAGTCCTGTGATCAGATGAACTACAACAAGAAGATTTATTTTGAACATCACAAAAGAAATTGCAATTGGGTGTTATTTCCGAAGAGCTGATATGAAAAGGAAATCAGATTATAAAGAGTACATGACAGTCTAAAAAACGATCACATTTTATTTGTTCGCATGTGTCACATTTATAATGAAACATCTGCCATTATATAAACACAGCATTTTTGTCTGGATTGAATGTTTTTTAAACAGGTTTAGTCTAACTTTACAGGCTGCAATTGAAAAGTCCTGTACTTACATAATACTTGTATACAGAAGAAAGCAATTCCGAATGATACCATAGAGGCCATAATGAATCGAGGGTTCATCACACCTGCAAAAGAAAAATCACATGCTTATTTACTGTCAACATTCATGTTGTATAACAGCGGCGTATAGCTACGGGGGGGGGGGGGGGCGGGGGCATGCACCCTTAATTCTCAATCGAAATAGGCAAACAAAGTAGGAAAGTGCAATCAAGCGAAAGGGGGGAGGGGTGAAAAATTGTGGAGAGGGAGGGAGAAAGGAAGATTTAAAAATGCTAGGACGACCTCCCACCCCCTGATCGAAAGCCTTGTTATTTGTATACCAGGTAAGAACGCACATTCCGTTGCCCCTTTATAATTATATGGGCCCACTCTACGCCACAGATCTAATAGACTGTGGGGTCATCTACTTTAATTGTCGTTAAATCTAAGAGAAAATAGAAATCGATTATGTTGCTTGCAAAACTAATATTTAAAAAAAAAAATCACCATTTTGATTACAATAATTGCAATTGCAGACTCTTAAGATTCCAAATAGAAATCAAAGATTATAACCCTTAGTTTTATCTCACTCACGATTTGCATTGATAAATTTATTCATGCTACAGTTCTTTTCCGCTAGCCTAAGCCCATGTGATAAATTAACATTTGGGCGTAATGACAAGTTCATATGTTGAGTTCGGCATCCATTTTTCTGATTACAATAGAACGAGCCCAATTTTCCATTGTGACAAAACTCCTGCTTTCCCAATTAGCGTGACAACATAGAATATCATCACGAAACTAATTCGATACGTATATATAATTATTAGGCATATTGAATGAAAATTTAAACGCACTCACCTTTCTTGTTATCGCTGAGTGAGAAGGTAAACGATTACTTCTGTCTCTTTTAATCACGATCCGGAAACAGAAGCAAGACATTCATATTAAACATGTTCACAAATGCTGCCTTCTCAACGAAATTTCTTTAATTACAGATGTCATTGATGTTTTGTATCAATGTCATTGAAACAATGGTGTACTATTACACAACTTCTTCGGTTTAGAAGTTTGTGCTAAGTAATCTCTTCATCTACCCGAGTCCATTGTTGTTTTATGATCTTTGAACGGTGCCTGACCCTTCAAAGATAACGAAGGTTTGCGGAGAAAGATTGGAATGCATTTGATCTATCTTTATTTTCGTGTACAAGCATCAACATTTCTCTTTGTCATGGGGCATAGATTTTGTTGACTAAGATGCATGTTAACCTATACCTTTTAGAGGTTATCGAATATTTTCATAATTTAAGATTTAAAAAAATGCAATATCGGCTTTTGTTATACTTTTATTTGTGCCATGAACCATAATAATAGTTTCCATGCATAGTGGTAAAATAAGATGGAGAAGAAGGAGCCGGGTGGTGTGGTGATGACCGTATTGTTATGATGAAGATCAAGTTTTATTTTAATAATAATAATAATAATAATAATGTAACTTATATCGCGCCAAATCCACTCTGTGGAGTGCTCAAGGTGCGTGTAAACAGGAAAAACGATCAAGACTTGAAAAGGAATGTTTTGAGATGAGTTTTGAAAGAATCAGAAGATAAACATTTTTTGATGTCTTCAGGAAGGCCATTCCATAATTTAGGACTAGAGTATATGCAAATGATCTTTCCCCCCACGTTTTGGTAATTTTGGGGGTCACAAGAAAATTGGAAGTGGATGAGCGTAGAGGTCTTGCAGGAGTGTAGTTTTGGATTAGAGAGATAAGGTATTGAGGAGCAGAGCCGTGAACGCAAGGAAAGGTAAGCAACAAAATTTTGAAAACAATGCGATCTTTTACTGCATGGAGCCAGTGTAGCGACTGCAAAACTGGGGAAATGTGGGTACGCTTGGTGGTCAGAAAAACAATACGAGCTGCAGCGTTTTGAAGCTTCTGGAGTTTGGACAGTAGATTCTGGGGTAGATTGATTAGGAGGGCATTGCCAAAATCAAGATTTTATTGTACACCTGTACAGAAAATAAAGAGGACATTCAAAATTATGTTACAAACTTCATACTTCTGAAGAAATATTCTTTTCAGCGGTACGTTTTTTGCGAGGGGGGGGGGGGGGGGGGGGTCGGCATGTATCCTTTTACCCGAATAACAACTTTTCATTTTCGATATTTTCGAGCGCGGAAAAACGTTGTCCCCTTTTTTTAAAGTAAAGAATTACAGAAATACGACATTTTTCTGGCACCTCATACCCGAATATATGAGACTACAATAAATTCATGGTTCGTCTTGATCTCGATATTCCGGGATACCTCATTGCCCAATTATGAAGGTAATTTAATGCTTGATTTTGAGGTGGTTGTTGCCCGAAAATATCGAAACTTAAAAATACCGGGGGGGGGGGGGGGCTTTCCAGCCCCCATGATAACCCCTCGCTTCGTAAGCCTATGCCAGTGGTCAGATAGTATAGATCCATTAGCCGATGAGTAAAGACTATGACGGACATGGTCAACTGGTCAGTGTTGACCTATACTGTCTTAACGAAAAGTGGAAATCCACTCTTTTAGGAGTCATTTTATATAATAGAGGAATTATTTCGATTTTGTTTTTGGTTGAATCCACTCCAAGTTTTGGTGGAACTAGTGATTTGAATTACTTTTTCACAGTTGAATTTCCAGTTTCCTTCTTCTTCTTCTTCTTTTTTTTTTGGGGGGGGGGGGGAGGGGGCTGCTCGGATTCGGGCTCCGGGCAAAATACCTTTGTGAAATTCAGGGAAAGACCGATAAATCTCCCCACCCCCCCCCCCCCAAAAAAAAAAAATAATACTTGTTCTGCATGTGGAATTCAACCCATCATCACCAGACCCGTCATTGACTATTGCACATTTCATCTGTTTATCATGTACATGTACAATCATCAACTAAGCTGTTATAGTAAGAAGTAATTTAATAAGACCGGTTTACTAAATATTCCAACTTTATGTATAGGCCTACTTTTAAAACCATGGTTGCATCTTGAAAGCTTGCCCGATATAGCACCAAGCAATGTATGCAGGCAGTATTGTGAGAATTGCACTTCATTTATCAATAACAGGTTAATGGAATAACTCAACACTAGCTAGGCCCCCAGGGGAAAACATGAATAAATTTGTATATATTAGTGACCCAGTCTATGGACGATGACTGTATGTCATGTTTAAGTTGCATGATGTTGACTCCTCGATACTCAAGAAAGAATAATGAAAATAAAGTACAATTATGGTGGTGCTGGTAGATGATTGATGTTTACTACTTTCTTGTATGTTTGTATATGTTTCAATCATTTATGTGGTAGGCTGGCCTATATACATTTAATCATCAGAATCACCACTACCCCTCCCCCCCCCCCCCCCCCCCCCTCTTCCCCAGTTCTTTCAGGGAAAACCCCCTCTCCTGTCGCGATAGTCTTACTTCAGTCGTTTTTTAGTAGTGATGGTAGCCAAAGGAGGTGAAGTTTAACATAACAATGATAATAAGCATTTATATAATTAATTGAAATAAAAACTCGATGTTAGGATATATTGTATTTACAAAAAAACACAACTATAGTACTGTAATTGCATCATGCAATTATGTTATTAATTTCTTATTCTGGAAGGAAACCTACATTTTAACATTGACAGATGATAAGCTTCGGCCACGCGTTGGGTTTAATCCTTTTTTTACCTACGATAATTCAGAGAACTTCAAGATGTCAACTGCTACTCCAGAACCTAAAGCTCAAATTACCCATGTCATCTTTGACATGGATGGATTGTTGATAGGTAAGAAATATACGACATTATCTTTGTATTATTAGGCCCAGAAATGTGCCTGGCATGATTATGAAGCCATGCAATATGCATGATCAGATGTAGACCGAATTTTCCGTCTCTTTCGTTCGTTAGCCTCTTATTGGGGTAGGGTCGGCTCTCTCTTTAGAGACGGAAGCCGTTTATACACATGTCCTTGCTAACGCCACGGCCAGTTCTGGTCGTAGCGTTTTGCCCCCAAAATCCCCCAAAATGTCATTTTACCTCGAGCATGTTATATTGTAAATTAGGCCTAGGCTATAATAAATCAGTTCCACTTACCAACTTGACTGAAATAATCAGTTTAATAGTCCCTTTTTAGGAAATTATGGGTCAAAATCGAAATCCATTTTGAAAATCTTTTTCAACATGGATTCCGATTTTGACCCATAATTTCCTAAAAAGGGACTATTAAACTGATTATTTCAGTCAAGTTGGTAAGTGGAACTGATTTATTATAGCCTAGGCCTAATTTACAATATAACATGCTCGAGGTAAAATGACATTTTGGGGGATTTTGGGGGCAAAACGCTACGACCAGAACTGGCCGTGGCGTTAGCAAGGACATGTGTATAAACGGCTTCCGTCTCTAAAGAGAGAGCCGACCCTACCCCAATAAGAGGCTAACGAACGAAAGAGACGGAAAATTCGGTCTAGATCAGATGATGATGATTTCCAGGCATGAATGAACACGGGCAATATGTAGCGGGTACAGCCATGACTGTGACGGGCTTCGGACGGGGACCTGAGAGGTGAATGCACGTATCCTCCGATCTCCCACGGGACCTGGCCTGGCGCACTTCAGCTTTAAGTTTATACTAGATGTAGACTAGATCGACTATATACTCTAGGTTCTGTTTCGGTGCTGTCATGATTTTTTTCTTGCGTAGAACAGCCAATTTAAGTTAGAAATATTACTACCATTTGTTTAATTTATCCAGGCAAAATTGATTGACACTTTGTCAGATTTGCTTTTTATGTCTGCTCAACTCAGGTACCTAACGCATGTGCTTGATGAAAGTCATGAAAGTCAGACGACGATCCAAATGTGCCACACCGCCTCCTACACTTCCGGCCCCCCCCCCCCCCACTCAGTGTTATTTAGGGTACGCATATGCTCGTACCCTCTTTTTGAAAGCACCCCCTATCTGAGGACTGCCAACACTTCCAAACCTCCCTTTCGCTGGCTTTTCGCGGACTTTTCCTGCCTTGGAGACCCCCCTAAATCAGGAAAAATGCTCAATGTACCCCCCTAAATTCAGAATAATTTCTCAGGAGTCCAAAGTGATGATAGAAAAAAAGAAAAACACCCCCTTTTTAAAGAAATCTCAGGGTGGAAAGTCAAATACACCCCTTTTTTTACAATTCTCGGGCCGGACTTTGTCGCACAAAAAATACCCCTTTACCGGACATTTTGGCAACACGCATGCGGTCATTCCGACCTTAGAGTGGGGGGGGGGGGGGGCCGGGCTACACTTATAATTAGGAGAAGTTTATTAGGATTTTTGAATCATGGTTTAAGCTAGCTCAAGATTACCATAAATGATTTGTTTTATTTGTTTCTTTCAGACACTGAGCGCTTGTATACGATTGTCTACGATAAAGTCTGTGGGAAGTATGGCAAGACTTTTACATGGGAGATCAAGCAAAAACTGATGGGAAGAAAGACGATGGAATCTGCTCAGATGATCATCGACATTCTTAAACTGCCAGTGAATGCAGAGCAGTGGGTACGAGAGATCAGTGATGAAATGACCATGATCATGCCTGATGCAAAACTTCTTCCTGGTAAGATCTTTTGTTTCAGTGGCATAGCTACAGTGGCATAGCTACAGTGGGCATGTGTGTCCCTCCCCTCTCACCCCTCCCCTCTCACCCCTCCCTCCCCCCATCCCATCCCCCCATCCCCTTCTCCCCTCCCCCACTTTGCCCCTTCAAATAATAGAGAACAAATAGAAAAAGAAGGAGCATGACAAAAAGGAGAGAAATTAAGGTAAAGAGAAAAAAGACAATAAGGGCCCCTCAAAAACTTTTCCCCTTTTCAGAATTAAGCCTTGTGAATTAGCATATCATTTTCTGAGTGAGTAAGGTGTCCCCTCAATCGCGCTTCACCACTGTTTTGTTTCATCAAATACAGTAGAAGCCAATATTTTTGTCTAAAAATATTTTTCACAGCTGACAAGGAAACAGACATTTTCACAACTTGTTTTTTATTCTCTACTTTTCATTCCATGTCTGTACGTTCATTGCAATGTTTATTGCAATTGCACATCATTTCAAAAATAAAAATAGATTGCATCATTGCATTCAAGATTTCAACCATTTCTTATTCTTCTATGCAGGTGCTGATAGATTTGTACGTCATTTACACAAGCATTCTATCCCTATCGCCGTTGCTACCGGTTCCTCTACGCCGGCATATGACCTGAAA